GAGATTAAGAATTCCTCATATCAGTGAGATCATATGATACATGTCTTTCTCTGATTGACTTATTTCGTTCAGCGTAATACCCTCCAGTTCCATCCACATCCTTGCAAATGGTAAGATTTCATTCCTTTTGATGGCTGCATAATATTCCATTGTGTATATATACACCACATCTTCTTTATCCATTCATCTGTCGATGGACATCTTGGCTCTTTCCATAGTTGGCTATTGTGGACATTGCTGCTATAAACATCGGGGTGCACATACCCCTTCGGATCACTACATTTGTATCTTTGGGGTAAATACCCAGTAGTGCAATTGCTGGGTCGTAGGGCAGCTCTATTTTCAACTTTTAAACAGTTATTCTTTAATATCAAATCTAGTCAGTGTTCAAATCTTTAATATCCTCATAATTTCTTTTACTTTAAAATTATTTACAGTTTTAAAAAATTAGGATCTACATAAAGTCTCCATATATTGCAATTGGTTGACATATTTCTTAAATTTCTTTTAATCCGTTTGTTCTCCGGAGCTCCATGTCTTTCTTTTTCTCCTTGCATTTTATTTGTTGAAGAAACAGACTTGTGTGACAGTAGAGTTCCCCACTGTCTGGATTTTGGCAGACTACACCCTGGGAATGTCATTTAACATGTTCCTCAGTCTTCTGCTTTCCTGTGAAGTATGAGTTGGATCTAGTTAACATCCCTAGATCGGGGATACTTGTCACTCAGTCTCCCTTTAAGACCTCTTTGTCTTTAATTTTAGGGTTCTGCATTTTTATTAGAGTTTAATTTTTTTTTGTAAGCTCTATGCCCAAGGTGGTACTTGAACTCATGACCCCCCTCAGATCAAGAGATCCAGAGCTGCGTGCTCCACCAACTGAGCCAGCCAGGTGCCCCTAGGGTTTAATTTTTAGTTTATTTTTCATTATATATGTTGCTTCCTATATCTATGGATTTGGGTTTTTCTCCCGTCCTGAAGAGACAACAATGCCCATATTGCCTGTTTTCTTTCCCTGTTCTCGATTACTTTTATCCCCTTGTCTTCTATTCTTCGTTCCTTCCAGCCCCTTCAGTAAATGACATAATAGACAAGTTATGTGATGTGAGCTAACTGGAGTTAAGCAGCATTTTAAAAAAAAAATTATCAAAATACAGTTAGAGAGTAAAGTAAAATCAAATTATGAGAATATGGCACATACATCTATGGGTTCTTCTTTTCACCAAAATATGAAGACTAAATTGATCAGGAGTGTTGACTTCAAGAATATCTCAATGAAGTGAAAAAAACATTTTTTAAAGGACTTTATTAATCTTTATTAATTCTTGTCAATTTTGTAATTTTCTTCCTAGATCTCCTCATATTTTGGATTCTGGCTGCATTATGATGAATGACACTTTGACATCAGATGTCATTGGTCGACGAGTTGAAGTTAATGGAGAACATGCAACAGTGCATTTTTCTGGTATTGTCCCTCCTGTGGCAGGTAATTTATAATTTTCTGTGTGTCTGTATTTATTTATTTTGGAGTTCTTTCTTTGTAGGCTTCTCTGTAGTGCTTTGTAACAACGATTTTAAAGAAACTAACAACCAATTTGTAGATGCTTCCTATATGCAATTGTTTTGTTTGGGTAACAATATCCTGTGGTATCTATGGTTTTATTTAATTTTAGATTTATTTAACTATTTAGTGTTACTATTTTATATTAATTCAACTTTAAAATATCTTCTGAGTAAACGTTAAACAACAACTAATAATCTTGAATTCTCATGTCCTAACCTCAAAAACTAAGACATTTTGGAAATTTTTTTTTTTTAAGATTTTATTTATTTATTTGAGAGAGAATGAGAGAGAGCATGAGAGGGAGGAGGGTCAGAGGGAGAAGCAGACTCCCTGCTGAGCAGGGACCCCGATGCGGGACTCGATCCCGGGACTCCAGGATCATGACCTGAGCCGAAGGCAGTCACTTAACCAACTGAGCCACCCAGGCGCCCCAGAAATTTTGGAAATTTCTTTTGTCTATGTATTTAAAGTAGTTTAAATTGATATACAATTTTGTGATATCTTTTCTCATGTATTATTTGGTACATATTTATGTTTCTATAGCATCATTTTGTTTACATTGTTTTTTTATTGAGGTATAATTAACATTTAACATATTAGTTTTAGGTGTACAAAATAATGATTTGATATTTGTATGTGTTGTCTGATGATCACCAAGATAGGTCTAGTTAACATCTATCACCATACATAGTTAGAGTTTTTTTTCTTTTAAATAATGTCGTTCTTTTATTTTTTAATTAATTTAGTATTTTATTTTTTATTTTTTATTTCAGTATAGTTAACATAGTTATATTGATTTTAAGTGTACAATGTAGTGATTCAACAATTCTGTACGTTACTCAGTGCTTGTCAAGGTAAGTGTAGCCTTAATTTCCTTCACCTGTTTCACCCATCCCCCACCCACCTCACCTCTTGTGACCCTCAGATTCTTCTCCGTAGTTAAGAGTCTGTTTCTTGGTTTCCCTCTCTCTTTTTTCCCCCCTTTCCTTGGTTATTTTGTTTCTTAAATTCCACATATGGGTGAAATCATACAGTATTTGTCTTTCTCTGACTGACTTATTTTGCTTAGCGTTATATTTTCTGGCCCCACCCATGTTGTTGCAAATGGCAAGATTTCATTCTTTTTTATGGCTGAGTAGTATTCCACTGTATATACACACTACCTCTTCTTTATCCATTTATCAATCGATGAACACTTGGGCTGCTTCCATAATTTGCTATTGTAAATAATGCTGCAGTAAACATAGGGATGCATATATCTTTTCAAATTATTGGTTTCATATTCTTTGGATAAATACCCAGTAGTGGAATTACTGGATCATAGGGTAATTTTATTTTTAATATTTTGAGGACCCCCCCATACTGTTTTCCACAGTGGTTGCACCAGTTTGCATTCCCACCAGCAGTGGACGAAGGTTTCTTTTTCTCCACATCCTTGCCAATACTTGTTTCTTGTGTTCTTGATTTTAGCCATTCTGACTGGTGTGAGGTGGTATCTCATTGTGGTTTTGTTTTGCATTTCCCTGATGCCGAGTGATGTTGAACATCTTTTCGTGTCTGTGTTGGCCATTGGGATGTCTTCTTTGGCGAAATGTTTATTCATGACTTCTGCCCATTTTTTAATTGGATTATTTGGGGTTTTTTGTATGTTGAGTTATAGAAGTTCTTTATTTGGGATACTAACCCTTTATCAGATATGTCATTTGCAAATATCTTCTCCTATTCCATAGGTTGCCTTTTAGTTTCCTTTGCTCTGCAGAAGCTTTTTTTTTTTTTTTAAGATTTTACTCTTAAGTAATCTCTACACCCAACATGGGGCTTGAACCTACAGCCCCAAGATCAAGAGTTGCATGTTCTTGGGTTGCCTGGGTGGCTCAGTCAGTTAAGCATCTGCCTTCAGCTCAGGTCAGGATCCCAGGGTCCTGGGATCGAGTCCTGCATGGGGCTTCTTGCTCAGCAGGCAGCCTGTTTCTCCTTCTGCCTGCTGCTCCCCCCTGCTTGGGCTCTCTCTCTCTCTTTGACAAAGAAATAAAATCTTAAAAAAAAAAAAAAGTTGCATGCTCGTATGGAGGTTCCTCAAAAAGTTAAAAATAGAACTACCTTACAACCCAGCAATTGCACTACTACGTATTTATCCAGAGAATACAAACATAGTGATTCAAAAGGGCACATGCACCCCAATGTTTATAGCTGCAGTGTCCACAATAGCCAAACTATGGAAAGAGCCCAGATATCCATCAACACAGGAATAGACAAAGAAGATATGGTGTATGCATGTGCATGTGTGTATACACACATACACAATGGAATATTAGTCATCAAAAGGAATGAAATCTTGCCATCGGCAGTGATGTGGCTGGAACTAGAGTGTATTATGCTAAACCAAATAAGTCAGAGAAAGATTAGTACCATATGATTTCATTCATGTGGAATTTAAGAAATAAAACAGATGAACGTAGGGGAAGGGAAGGAAAAATAAAATAACAGAGAGGGAGGCAAAACATAAAAGACTCTTAACTATAGGGAACAAACTGAGGGTTGCTGGAGGGGAGGTGGGTGGGGGGATAGGGTAATTGAGTGACGGGCATTAAGGAGGACACTTGATGTAATGTGTGTTATACGCACCTAATGAATCACTAAATTCTACACCTGAAACAAATAATACACTACACGTTAACGAACTTGAATTAAAAAAATAAAGTTGCATGTTCCACTGACTGAGCCAGCCAGGTGCCGCTGTGATGTAGTTTGAGCATATGTTTCACCTGACCCTGTGGGCAATTCTGAAGATAGGGTGGCCCTTCAGAGATTTTCCTAGTTGAGATAAGGGCTGGGCATTTATACCTGTGATGATCTATTACTGGGTTTTTGTATGCGAAAGGGGGTGTGCCAGGCACTTTCTTCAGTTGAGACAGTTCTTGAAAGTGCGCCCATAGTTGAGGGCTAATTGTCAGAAGCTAGTATTCCCAGCAGCTGGTGGGAATAAGTCTTGCTTTCTAAAGGCAGATTGGAGTATATAGTCACAAATCCAGTAAAACAGATGGAAGCTATTTCATGGTGATTTAGTGACTATGAAGTGGTACATATTATTTTCATTTATTAAATTGCCTGTGAGTGGGGCATCTGGGTGGCTCAGTTGTTAAGCATCTGCCTTCGGCTGAGGTCATGATCCCGGGGTCCTGGGATCGAGCCCCGCATCGGGCTCCCTGCTCCGCGGGAAGCCTGCCTCTCCCTCTCCCACTCCCCCTGCGTGTGTTTCCTCTCTCGCTGTGTCTCTCTCTGTCAAATAAATAAAATCTTAAAAAAAAAATTGCCTGTGAGTTTGATACTTCCTTCGTGTATGTATGATCAGGCAAATTCTTCCTCCTAAAATTATAATTCTGCAAAGAAGGAGCTACTATGTATTTATTAATTATCTCATCGTATGGAGGCATTCTGTATTACTTTATCTCAACTGGTGCTACTTTTGAATTTCTTTTAGAAGTCAACAGGTAGAATTGGTACAAAGATGCAGCGACATTGAACACAGATTTAGTAATTATTCCTGGAGCTGCTTCACTGGGTGTTGTAGGGTTGTTGTGATAACTAAATAAATGAAGGTGTTTAAAGCACTTAGACCAGTTACTGGTGCATAGTGTTAGCTATTTTGTAGATATACATCTTAAAAATTTACTTAAGAAATAGAGCAGTTCTAATGTTTTGCAAATGGCTTGGGTTGGAAATTTAATTTCCTGAGATAGCATCATATGCAGGTTTTTTTAATTTTTATTTTTTTAAAGATGTATTTATTTTAGAGAGAGAGTGCGAGCGAGCGTGCATATGTGCAGTGGGGAGGGGCAGAGGGAGAGGGAGAGAAAGTAAAGTCTCAAGCAAACTTCTCTGAGCACAGAGCCTGACATGGGACTTGATTGATCCCATGACCCTGAGACCATGACCTGAGCTGAAACCAAGAGTCGGATGCTTAACCGACTGTGCCACCCAGGTGCCCCCATATGCAGATTTTAAAAAGTGTTTATTTTAAGTAAAGAGGATATGCCATGATGGGCAGAATAATGCCCCTCCCCTTGCAAGAAAGATGTCCCCAGGACCTGGGAGCATTATGTTCGGTTACATGGCAAAGGAGAATTAGGTGGAATTAAGGTTGCTAATCACCGGACTTTAAGATAGGGATATTATCCAGGTGGGCTGAGTGTAATCCCAAGGATCCTTAGAAGTAGAAGCAGAAGAGGGCAGTGCTGGAGTGCAGTGATGTGAGAAGGTTTCGACTGGCCACTGTGGCCTTTGAAGATGGAAGAGGGTGGTGAAGCCAAAGAGTGTGTGCGGTGTCTGGAAGCTGGAGAAGGCAAGGCAATGAATTTTCCTCTGTAGTCTCCAGAAGGGAACACAGCTTTGCAACACCTTGATTTTATTTTATTTTTTAAAGATTCTATTTGTTAGAGAGAAAGCACGCATGAGAGTGGGGTGAAGGGCACAGGGAGAAGCCGACTCCCCGCTGAACAAGGAGCCTGATGCGGAGCTCAATCCCGGGACTCCAGGATCATGACTTGAGCCGAAGGTAGACACTTAAACCGACTGAGCCACCCAGGTGCCCCTGCAACGCCTTGATTTTAGTCCAGTGAGACTGTCCTCAGGCTTCTGACCTCCAAAACTGTAAGATAATAAATTTGTGGGGGCACCTGGGTGGCTTAGTTGGTTAAGTGTCTGCCTTCCGCTCAGGTCATGATCCCAGGGTCCTGGGGTCCAGCCCCGATTGCAGGGATGGGGGAGGGGTGTCCCTGCTCAGCAGGAAGCCAGCTTCTCCCTCTCCCTCTGTCCCTCCCCCCTGCACTCATGTTCCCTCTCGCTCGCTCTGCTAGCTCTCTCTCAAATCTTTAAAAAATAAATTTGTGTAGTTGTATAGCAGCAATAGAAAACATATATCC